CCCATCTTCGTGTTATTAAAAATATTATATTTATTAACATCGATTGTTTCGTTTGTCTTTGGTCTACGGTCGGTCGAATGTGTCATTTAGGGGATCCGGGAAAATTAAATTCAATTAAATCCTAATTGAATTAATATTTATTTATTTTTTACTTTATCTATTCCGCCGATGATATAATACAAGGGAAGCAACCCTAACCCTTATTCAAGAATCCTTTAATTGAATGTTAATTGAGAAATAAAAAGGAATATCATCGTACGGAATATATTGATCCTAACCTGGCGTTATTCATCCATACGATAATAACGTTTCGGGGTGGATCTATGATTATATATATATATATATATATATATATATATATATATTACATGAATCATACATACAAAAACAAGGATCATAACATTCATCTAGAGGTTCGTGGATTAATGTAACTTTAATAAATTTGTTTGCGAAGATGTTTTTCGCCATCTATATTATTAACTTTCTACTTTTTGTATAAATGATTCATGTAATATAAATTGAACTGCACCACATATTTAATATATATATATATATATATATATATATATATATATATATATATATATCTGTGCCTCTCTTTTTTCTTTTTCAGTTTGTCTATTTGTAATTATCGGTAAGGAAACAAAGTGCAAAACTATAATATCGTTCACAGGGGTTCTCTTTTCTCCCGTAATTTAGATAGGGACCCTATTTTATTTGAATAATAATTTTTTTTTAATATTTTTAACACATATTCTCAATATTATTATATTTTTTTCTTGCTGATGATGTTATTATTAATTATGATAATAATACAATAGCTATCGGTAATTATTGGGGAATATTTAATTTTATTAAGTATACTGTATAGAATTATTCTGTTTTTGTTTGAGTTCGCATTTAATGTGTAAACATTACCTTAGAAATATCAACCTTCAAAATAGTACAATTTAAAAAATTAAATCGAAAAAATAAGTTTTTTCTAAGTTTAAACATCAATATTCGACCATTTCTGTAGGACTTTATAAACTTTGCAGTCATATTTATTTTGCACGTATACTTAAGAGTCCTTTTTTTTTTCAGAAAAATACAGCCAGTACTCATAATAGACTTTATGTTTAAAATGGCGGCCCTACCTATCGTTAGCAAAAATCAAGTAGAAGTAATAAAACAAGAAATGGATAGAATTCGCGGTTATAATAAGCAAATTAGTATTTATTTCCCGCCATCTACAAGGTTCGATCGTTTGCTCGTTCCATGGAAAGGTATATAAGTCGTGGGAGACTGAGAGTTTGTTCACAGTGAACAAAAGGTAAAAATCGAGGTAGACACGCGGAGAAAATCAACATGAATATGTAGTCAAGTGAGATTATGGGAGAAGCATTCCACAGATTATCACACTGTAGTTGTCGAGAGTTATTGTCTGCTACTGCCGCTTGTTTAGTCGCTGGCCGTAGACATTGTTGTTAACGGAAGCGTTTTGATGTCGCTGTTAGTGGCTTGGTTAAGTAATCCTAGCCAGGTCGGATGTCCCCCAGTGGGGAAAATCTAAGAGAACACTGCGGCGAAAATCCCCGTGGGCTTTTCTGATTGGTCAGAAAAAAAAAAAGTTTATGCCCCTGGTATTTTGGGACGGTATTCCGGAAGCGGATACGCTGAGCTGGGCGAAATTAAGGTCTGTTTTGTCATATGAGCTGGGGATGTTGAGTTGAACACTTCCGTTTCAGTTAAAGAACTGACTTTCAGACAGGATACGGTATGTTTAATATTTTTGGCAATTACAATATTTCAACGTTCTTAGCATCAGTGTAATTCTAAAACAACAGTGACAAAGAAATTGAAGTTGACGCAAATGCATTGTATAGGCAATGGACAGCATTTATTTTTATCATATCAATGTGGCTTAACAACGAACAAATAATTTTGATGTTATTTTCAATAAATCAAAATTGGAGATAAATAATTTTCCGCCACTACCTAACATAGGATGAGTAATACGATCAAATAAGATGATGACTTAACAAATTTTATTGCACTTAGACACACAGATATTTATATAGGCAGCAAGATTCATTTGAAACAGTTTATTAAATGTAACTGACAATGTCTGCTTGTTTAATTAAGTGCAATTAGTATCCATATCGATCATCACATCGCAAAGAAGCAAAATACAACGGCCAATTTAAAAGAAATATTATATACGAAAAAGAAGAGGAAGAAGAAGAAGCGAGAAGAAGAGCGATGAAGAAGAAGAAGAAGAAGGAGAGAGAAGATGAAGAAGAAGAGAGATGAAGAAGAAGAAGGAGAGAGAAGATGAAGAAAAAAAGAAGACGACGACGAAGAAGAAGAAGGAGAACGAAGACGAAAAAGAAGAAGAAGAGAGAAGAAGGGTATTGTAAATATATCAGTGGGGGGTTAATTGAATTGTACATTACTTTCATATATATATATATATATATATATATATATATATATATGTGTGTGTGTGTGTGTGTGTGTGTGTGTGTGTGTGTGTGTGTGCGTGCAAATATATGGAAAAATGGGAAATATTACGTTAGGTTAATCTCCTGTTTTTGAAACATGAGGACTCTTATGTAGCGAAGGAATCATATATTTAAAACATAATTATAATATATATATATATATATATATATATATATATATATATATATATATATATATTTGGTTGATAGATGTGAATTTATGACCCTGGGTTTCACGCTTTAGCGATCGTCAGACAAACCTATATCTCTGATATTGAGCGCTTTCTAATAAGTACTGCGCATATAATATATAAATAATTATACATATATATATTTATTTATATTTATATACACTTTTCACACACCCACACACACACACACACAAACACACACACACACACACACATATATATATATATATATATGAATGAATGAACAGAAAAGGAAAACATTCATATTTCATATTGCCCTTTTACAAATGTGCTCTATCTGAAGTTTTTACATAAAGACGCGCGCACACACACACACACACACACACACACACACACACACTCTCTCTCTCTCACACACACACACACACATATATATATATATATATATATGATAAGTGAGATAGGAAGGGAATAAATACATAGTCATACGTTTCGTTTTGCCAAGGAAATGTTTCTATGTAATCTTCGTTTTATTGATGGAAGTAATTAAACCCAAAGGGCCAGACAATCCTACCTAGGTTTCACCTACGCGGATCGTCAGGGCGGACTGGCGGACAAGAGATGCTATAAGAACAGAAAATATATAGCCTACAACACAAAAAACATGACCATGTGACCAAGCTTTTTTGTTTTTTTTTTGTTTTTTTTCACATAGTCATGTTTTTGTGTTGTAGGCTATATATTTTCTGTTCTTATAGCATCTCTTGTCCGCCAGTCCGCCCGGACGATCCGCGGAGGTGAAAACTTAGGTAGGTTAGTCTCGCTCTTTAGGTTTACTTAGTTTGCTCTAAGCGTATTGAGCACTTTGCTTAGTTATTTTTACTTTACTCGTGTCGGATATTTTTTTTCTTTGGACACTGACCTTTCTATTCTAGACGATTATTTTCGCCGAATTACACGTTCTTTGTTCTTTCTTTTTTTACCCTTTTTTTCCATTGGGTATTGGTTTGTTCATTTACAAGCTAAAACTCCTAAGGTTTTGCCGGTCGAGTATAGTTGCTAGATGAATAGATGAATAGTAATATATATATATATATATATATATATATATATATATATGAAAAATATAAATTTGTAAATTTGAACTTTAAATTCGGATACCCAGAGGTTAACACCGCCCGCCAGAATTATTAGTGGATCTGCTTCGATGTTTTCAAAACCGAATGCAAAAGCTTACAAATATCTGAAAGAAAAAAAGTAAGTTGAAGACTACAGAAAAGAAAGAATTCTACCTTTGTAAAAACGAGTCGTGAATATATTTTATACGGGATGAAATGATTTGCAAAGAACATGCCAAAAAGGTTTCAACAATGCGTGCCAGGGATTCGTCAGATTTCGTTTGTTTTTTATTGAATATATTTTCTAATCACATTAGCGAGAATCGAACCTCAGATGAAAATGAGATCGAAGGCTGTCGGAACTAAGATCAATTCTTCGATGGAAAAAAAATGGAAAAAAAAACAACTTTCAGCAATGTTTGGGTATGTGAATACGTTTGCGTGGTTTTAGCGAGATTCGTAATGATGATAACATCAGAATGGGGAAGCAGATAAAAACGGACGGAAACGGCTGTCCATCCACATAAGGAATTGTTATAGCAGAACATTACCTATTCTATTGTAATAGATTCTCCCACATATAATAAGTAGTAGTAGCAGTGGCCAGTTGAGCTCAGTGGAGTTGAGTGAGTCAGTCGATGTCGGACATTGAAGTATCAACGACCACAACTAGATTGCTGCGTCATTAACTCTTATTTCAAGTTCCTAACGTTTTGTACGTCGGACCCTTTTAGGACCGACTTCAAGCCTCCACTGTAAAAACTACTCTACAACAGGAATTGAGATCAAACAGGTTGCTCGATTGCCTCAAGCTCGTTTCGAAGGAGTAGAGGGTTTGATACTAGCTTCAACGAGCAGGCTACCAACAGGTTAGGAAGGGACAATTCTAGATACACAGGAGAAGCGTTCTGCCCACTCATCCAACTTTTGTTGTTTTTTTTTTTTAAACTTTGTTTTCCGTAGGGCACCAATATCCAACGATGGATTTCCACAGGCTTGACTCTCTTTGAGCTCAGAAAGCGCACTTCGACGCGTTTTTTCTTCGATTGAGCAATCTCTGAGTGAAGCGTACATACGTCTGATATTGTTGCTGTCTGAGACTCAACTGAACGATGGAATACTGCATGCCGACTATAGCTAACCAACAATTAATGCCCATCCGAGACACCCGTCAGCATCTCCTTTTTAATTTACCGCGTAATTTCAAAATTGTATTTACTTTAAAATTTACCCTTGTATAATCTGACTTAGACTGACAGAAAGATAGTTGGAATAGAACAACATATATATATATATATATATATATAGATAGATAGATAGATAGATAGAGAGAGAGAGAGAGAGAGAGAGAGAGAGAGAGAGATGGGGGAAGAGGGGGAGAGAGAGGGAAAATATGATAAAGAAAGAACAGATTCAGATAGATAGATAGAAAGAAAGAAAGTGAATGTGATAGATAGATAGATAGATAGATATGGACATACTGAAATAGATAGATAGATAGATAGATAGATATGAACATACTGAGATAGATAAATAGAAAGTGAATGTGATAGATAGAAAGAGAGAAAGTGAATCTGATAGATAGATAGATAGATAGATAGATATGGACATACTGAAATAGATAGATAGATAGATATGAACATACTGAGATAGATAAATAGAAAGTGAATGTAATAGATAGAAAGAGAGAAAGTGAATGTGATAGATAGATAGATAGATAGATAGATATCGACAGAGCATAGAAACATAATGAGACATAATGGTCATTTAGAATAAAATTGAAATTTCTCGGACACCTAACGAAGAAAGAAGACTAAGTATTTAACACATAGTGATTTTCCAAGCGTAGCTTAGACGTAGCACGAGGTCGAAAGTAAGAGGCACGCAGTTAGGATCGAACTCACTGCTCAGTTGTAATTGTTCTAGCGAGACAAGCTCGCTAAACATTACACCGCCCCGAGGTGCCCAAGTATTTAACATAGAGAGATCATATCAAAGGCAAATTTACAACAAGTTCATCCAATACCAGGCCCAAGTGCCTCTCAAGGTAGAGGATTACTGAGTGAGATTGGTCTATGGGCGTAAGAATTGGAAGTATCACAGATTATGAGGATATATATATATTTTTTACTAATGTTCCCACAAAACAAGGCAAAAGAACCCCTTAAAGTAGATTGTTAAATGGCAAGAAGTGAAGTTCACGTGCCTATACAAGAAAGATAACACATAACCCTAGACTTGAAGATGTCAAGATTTTAGTGACTGGGGAAACACCCTGTTCCACAAAGCGGCAGTTATTGAAAAGAAGCTGTCCTATTGGAACATTCTTCTTACTAATGGAATACGGGGGCAATGGGGAAGATTCATCCCTGTGTAGGCGGCATGACTGGTCCCATTTGTAAGATTCAGTGTAGTGGAACCAATGAATTTAGATCGTCAGAATATTGTTAAATGGCATCCGTCGTCAGGCAGGTCAAAAAGCACCGCGAACCCCAATCAGGAAACAAACTGGAATTGAAAAGATTGAAATTGGAAAAAAATTTACCCAACGAAAATTAGAGGAAGACTATGCCGAGAACAGTCCTCGTCGGGGGCCCTCTATATTCATTAAAAGAAAATCCCACAAAAAGAACAATAAATAAATGGTCTAGGGAGGAGTATATAGAAGTAATGATAACATTTTACACCGATACGATAAATCCGACAACGACAGCAACGACCAAAACCGCCTATAATATCTGGCAAGAAAAACAAAAAGATTAAACCTTGAAGCCAACAAACTAGCCAACGTCATGCGTGACATCATCAGGAAAAAGAAGAATACCTGACATAGAACTCGAAAGCATCAGAGAAAACATCAAATATAGATTAATACATTACAAACCAAAATAAACTCTTAAACAAGAGAAATAAAATAACGGGTAAATGTAGGCATATAAACAAATATTTACTTTGACATCTAAGCACTAACTAAAAATAAACAAATAGATATAAATGAAATAAATATAATACAAAGTATAAATACATAAATAAAAGAAACAAATATAATATAAATTTATTATTAAATTAATAAACATTAAAATTATTTAATTAATAAACAAATAAACGAACAAATATTAAAGTACACACCTATTTGTGTGTGTACATTTACATGTGTATACACACACTCACATACACACAAACAACAAAAAATGCACACAATTAATACCTCAATATTTAACACCAAGGCAAAAACAAATAAACTTGTAATCATTAAAGAGAAAGAAAAATGGAACATTAAATAAACGATAAACGTTAATATGATATAAACATACACTTATTTTAGTTTAATTATATATACAATATATGACACTTATATATACGTGCGTGTGTGCAGTGTGTGTGCGGTATTTGATTAAGTGGGAAGGAGTATGTACTATATATATATATATATATATATATATATATATATATATATATATATATATACTCGACTCTCCCATCGACTCGACGTATGAGGGTCAAGCAGATCAGTTCCTATGAAAACCGACAGCCCGACAACAGCACATGAGATTTGATTATAATGGTGAAGGTTTCGTGCAGGACCAGCCACACTTTTTGAAGGGCCGAATACAGAGACCTGGTGCACTACGTGCCACAGGGTCCCAAAACGACCATCCGCAGGTTTTGAATTCAGAGTTGTCCTTCTCCTAGACCAGTTGCCATCCAAGGCTATAGAACCCAGTCTGTCCTGCTATTTAGCCATAGCTGGAGGGAGAAGAAGAGGAGGATTCACACCTTTCCCAAGGGTATTAGCATATAAGTGAATGTAATGGATTCGACTGGAATTCGAACTCGGCTCTCCAATTCCTCATATATATATATATATATATATATATATATATTGAATAAAAGACAGACGGGCTGTCGGTTTCCTAGGAACTGATCTGCTTGACCTTCATACGTCGAATTCAACGGGAGTGTCGAGTATATATATATATATATATACACACACACACACACACACATATATATATATATATATATATATATATATATATATATATATATAGTTTATACAAATTTAGGTAATCCGTATGGGTAGACCTGAGGGAGGATGATATCAGAGAGCTCAATGTGAAATTCAGAGCAGATATGTTTGAATAAAAGACAGACTACGTTAAGATTCCATGTAATAAGCTATTTCACCATAACCCCTTTAACAGGATTCTGGATCATCAGAATTTTACTTCCAAAACTCACCGAATTTCAAATTAATTTCTTCGTAGATTGTTTTAAAATTTAGATATTTATCAAACCCTAACCTCCCAAATATGCACGTTAAAGTAACGCGAACTGACAGCGTCTAAGAATTTGAATGAAACCTGTCGTGTAATTTATTGGGGTTATTGTAACGTCTTCCTTTAATGTAGTCCTTATCGCTTACCCCTTAACCACCTTTATCTAGAGACGAGACGCGTTAAATTTGAACAACATCCAGCCGACACACTGGGGTAAAAATAGGAAACTAAAATGATACATATGACACACTCATATCCTCTCTCCCACCTCACTTCCTCACTTCGTTAACTTTGCGTATACTTGATGAGGTCCGTAAAAAAAAACGAATGAATTTCTTTTCATTTTTCATTTCAGCTTTTGGAAGTAAAGTCTGATGATCAGAACCCTGTTAAAGGGGTTATGGTGAAATAGCTTATTACATGGAATCTTAACGTGGTCTGTCTTTATTCAAACATATCTGCTCTGAATTTCACATTGAGCTCTCTGGATATCATCCTCCTCAGGTCTACCCATACGGATTACCTAAATTTGCATAAAAATATATATATATATATATATATATATATATATATATATATATATATATATACCCCACTCTCCGTTGAATTCGACGTATGAAGGTCAAGCAGATCAGTTCCTAGGAAAACGACAGCCCGACAACAGCACATGAGATTTGATTATAGTGGTGAAGGTTTCGTGCAGGACCATCCACACTTTTTGAAGGGCTGAATATAGAGACCTGGTACAGAGGGTCGTTGGGGAACCTTGTGGCAGATGTATTTGTACATGTACCCGTGTCTATGCGAGATCTAGGTTTCGCGTGTATATATAAACGCACAGATACATATTACCCTTAATTTATTAATCAATCATTCAACTAATTTACTTAGATTTAATTGGTCTTAAGGTTAAATCTCCCATAATTTATTAATAACATTAAACCCTTATGGTCTAAATACTATTTACTGTAAGTCCCAGGAAAAACGCACTTGTTGCTAGCATACCCGTAGTGGGAACTGACATTTAGTTACAAACAACGAAAGGCTCTGGCTATAAATAAACTCTCACCCCAGACCACTACCCACATAATGAGATACCTCATGCCCTCCCCCAGACGCCAACATAAGCCCCTTATCATAAACAAGTCGTCTCTCGCAGGAGAACTGATATTGAATATAAATTCATATCCCTACTTAGAGACAAACACTTGAGAGCTGAAGACAGCTGGGTTCAGACTAGCTTAAAATAGACGATACTCATCTTGAGGTAATTTTTTTGCTGTAAAATACATACATACATACATACATACATATATATATATATATATATATATATATATTATATATATATATATATATATATATATATAGAGAGAGAGAGAGAGAGAGAGACAGACAGACAGACAGACAGAGAGATAGATAGAAGGATATATACATATGAACAAAGTGGCATAGATAGATAGATAGATAGATAGATATGAACAAAGTGAGATAGATAGATAGATAGATAGATAGATAGATATGGGTATGGAGAAAAACATACTAATTTCACTTTATGGTTACTGAATTCTAGCGCTTAGTATATCTAGTTTTATTATCGTCAAATGGTTTGTCCATTTCCTAAATGGCACTGATTTGCTTAAAATATCAATGATCGTTTTATGGTCGGTGGATTTTCTGTCGTCGTACCAGTGGTTGTATGAAGTCTTAGTGTATGGTTTAAACAGGCCATTAGTCAGGTCAAATGTGACGTCAAGGAAATTGATAAAATTAGAGTTAGTATTGGTGGTAATGTTTATTTTATGGTCAATTTCCTAAATATATATTTTTTTAATTCTTCGTCTTTCGGACGCAAAAAATTAGAATGATGACATAAATTATAAAAACTTAATTATAATATTTTAGACAACAATAATTAAATAAACAAGTCTAAAATGACAAATTTAAATCATCACCACGAGAATCCGAATTTCATAACGTTTTAAAGGTCAGTCCTTATTTCGCACCTGACGATTGCACGCTTGCATGAAATTCCGAGTTGTGCTACCGACAATCGATATCACGTACAATCAATATATATATATATATATATATATATATATATATATATATATATATATATCAGAGGTGACAGGCGGTTTCGTGCTGGACGCAATCGCAGCCTAACAATAGCGTCTAGCATGAAACAGCCTGTCGCCTCTTTAATGTTCACTTTTATATCTATATTTACATACGCTCTATCTCTTTTCGTGTTTCGTCCTCTGCGGGACATTATCAAGGCAAATATATAGATTTATTTATTTTGTGTTCATATACAGGAGCAACGGTGTCATTGCAAGGCTTTTGCGTTTAAGAACGTTCATGAATATTAATTAGGTGGTTGAAAGGCCAGTCGAAAAATGTAGAATTCAAACTCTGGTAAGACAAAAGTTAGCAAGTAATATTTAAAAATATATATATATATATAT